TTTAATAAGGATACCATTTTTTGGTGATGACAACTAATGTCTAATTATGATAGCTAGTCCTTAATGACATGTCAAGCTTCAGCGGTTAAAGCAATTAAAGATGCAAACTAGGATATTAGGGTTTGATGGACTTGACTATCTGATAATGACAATCAAATATAATATTACTCAAATCTCATCTTAAATGATCTGGAGCAAGTTTCTAAAAGAAAGAAAGCATCTGAAAAAGTCTTGAAGTATAAGAATGCCCCACCTCGATTAGTGTGAGTTAAAACATTGTAAAACATAAAGGCTTTCTTATAAAAATGCATGGCTAAATCACACACACAAAAGCAGTTTTTAAATTGATGTTTTTCAAGAAAACATTTTCAAATGTCTTGAAGTCGTGCCATATGGGTTAAAAATTCTCAAAATAGCTCTAGGCAAAATTTTGTATATGCCAATCATTGTCACCTTAGCCCAACAATTGGGTCAGTTAAAAAAATGCTCCCTAAGCGATTAAGACAACATTTTAATGAGGTGTAACAGCTAAATGTCTTTCCTTTTTAACTTAGTAATCAATCAATTGGGATACGATGTCAATCAATTGGCAAGTCATAAAAATCCATAATATTCTTTCCTTTTTTGTGCCAACCTCTGCCATATAAATAGACGTCCCTTTCCACTCTTTTTCATATCCAGTAATGTGTTTCATTTCACAATTCTCTCTCTCTCTCTCTAAAATTTTCTTTTGTTTACTTTCTCTCGCTAATAATTTAGCCAAAGTGATTTTTGATAAAGTCATTTTGCAAGTGAGAAAACTGTAATGCTGGAAGATAGTTTTGTAAGTTCACCAAGGAAGTTTTGTTTATACCTTGGTTGAGCATTTTATCCTTTTAAGGATTGTTTGTTTGAGTTTGAAGATAAACCCGTAAAAAGCTTAGGTTTGGAATTTGTGTGATCAAGTATCTTGTTTAGGCTCAAGATTAGTTCGTGATAAAATCTCATAGGTTCTTGGTTAGCCCGTGATAAAACTAATTTCAAGTTAAAGCTTAGTCCAATGGTAAAAACTTGTTTCGGTTCAAGATCAACTCGGTGGTAAAATCTCACAGGCTATTAGCTAGCTGGTATAAAACTAAGGCTTAGGTTTGAGAGCTCATCCTGGTGTTAAAAGCTCCCAAAGTTTATTTGAAGCTTGAAGACTAACCTCTCTAAGATTCTTGTGGAAAGAAGACTAGCCGCTTCGATCTGCCGTATGGAAGGGAAACTCACCGCTTTTCTCCTGTGTTTGCTGTTTGGTTAAAAGTTAGCCATAAACTTCATTTTTCCTTATATAATGGGGTTCGAGAGTTTAACATACTAAAAGCTCTTAAGTGTATTGGATACTCTCAAGAATAATTCTTGGGAAGAGGATTAGGTTTTTTTTTTCTCTTTTGACCGAATCTCTATAATTTCCAGTGTCTTATCTTTTCCCTTAATTCTTTAATTTTCACAATTTACATTCTGCAATTTTATTTTTCCACTGCTTAATATTAAACAATTTTCTTAAAATGTTTTCAAACTTTGATTCTAAATCTCAGTCTTTCAAAACCAAGTTTTTCTGAAACACACAATATACCCCCTCTTGTGTGCAAAGTCACATTTCCAACAAATATAAGTGTGGATGATCTCATGCCATATCTATTCACGTATAGTGTTCAAGGGCGTGAAATTCTTCGTATGTTTCCTGCTCCATTTGAAGGTTTCCTTGTCTCTAATAGGTGAGATATACTGGCTCTTGTGCGACTGTTGCGAGCTATCATGATTGCTAATTTTACACTCCTTAACATCTTTGGCCTTTTTCTCGGAGTTATTCTCATATACCTTTATGTAGCCTTCTAAGCACGTTACTACCTCCACCATGGAAGCAACAGACATTTAGACAAGGGATTCATAAAAAAACCCAACCCTTAGTCCATTTTAGAATGCTCCTACAAACATCTTCTGGTTGGGGTGGACGACTTTAATGGACACTTGATTAAATCAGGCGATATACTTCCTCAAAGATTTTGAAGGACCTTGGCGAATGTTGAACGAGTTGGTGGTAGACATCCTTCTTGCCCGCTCGTTAAAAACTGATGGACCGACTTTTTTTACTAGGTCATGGTAACTAGTGAGTGAGATTTGCGGCAGGCTTATGCATCACCTTAACGCTGCATCTTAAAGGTTCCAGAGAAAAGCTTGCATTTATGAGAGTCTAAGGCTCTAATAATTGCCATCTGTATGTTAATGAAGGTGACATGTTGTTAGAGGTCCCTACATCCATCAAACTTAGCAAGTAATTGTGACTTGAAATTCTCTAGCACGACCCTCCCCCCATATTTCTTCAATGAGAGGTTTGGGGTCCATAACCTCTATCTCTTCAGGGGACAACCTCCCACTGACGTTGTTAAATATCAAATACGATGTCCTGTAAAGCTTAGTTACAACGATACAAATAATCCATAACAACACGCATCTTTGCTATGACGTCTTAGTCATTGCCAAAACTGCTGCTGGTTGAAGTTACTACTCGCTTGTTCACCATATTTGACAAGGGGTTGAAGATGTGGATTGAAACTTGATCGTCTGATGCAATAGTGACCCAGGTTAGTTTTATTAGGGCCCTACAATGGGTGTAAATTGTACTTGCTACAATGTACAATAGGGATAATCTTGTACTTTGAGGGCTGTGCGTGATGTTTAAGGTTGTAGATGAATGCTAAAGCAACTCATGCAAAGTGGTGAAAAGTTGTGTATTTGTGAATTTTAGGTGAATTGAATGTCCCTCCTCAACCCCATTGTTGGGGTATTTATAAAGGTCTATTGAGTTTGGACTCTTACACTAAGGAGCAGTTATTGCCCAAGGACATGTCAATCTCCACGTTTCATAAGCGGGTGATGGGTGATTGGTTACATAGGATGAATAATGTGACCAATGAGCGAGAGTTATGACCAATAAACGCGTGTTATAATCAATAGACGACTAGAACCCCAATTTTATATGATGTGTGATACTCATTCATCCTTAATACCTCTTAGAGCATCTTTAGTGGGTAAACTAAGATATTTTTTGTGGACCCAAAGTGATTTGTAGAATTTAAAAAATTTATAGTTGATTTGAGTTGTTTTTACTTTAACGATAGTTACTTACAAAAAAACTAAAACTTGACCATATATTTTATATTTTTTAATTGTAATTATTTTTTATTGAAGTTACCATTAATTTAATTATTTTAAATAAAATACATAAAATATTCATTGCAAATTTTTTGTGGGTCCAAATTATATAGCATACGTTAGCTATATAATTGTTAGAAACTAAAAATTAGTGAATTAAATGTCATATCATAAGCCATTCTTTATAATCATCGTTAATTATAAAAAATTTAACTATTAAAAAACTGTATTAAAGATGCTCTCTTAGGATCCACCATAATTTTAATATAAACATTCATTTATTTAATAATTCAATATAAAATCTTACAAAATTTTGGGATACTATTCATTGTATAATGTTTAAGAGTTAGTCTTTACTTTTTGATTTGTCATTATTTTTTCTACTCATAAAAAATCTTACGAAATAACATCTCAAACCCATTTACAAAATTAATCTAACTACATTTTTTTAATACACACCACCAAGCATCATGAAGCCTCTAACCACATAAGTAAAATACCTTTTGGGTAATGAAAATCACATCCTTAAAAATCCAAAAACCCTAGTAGTACTTCTTAGTATTGAGTAGATGTAGCATGTTTGGTGAAGTGCGAAAGTCATTAGGGTGTATATTAACGTTGGAAAGAGGACCGGATCGGGGGCAGTGACCCGACTGGACTGGTAAACAAACCTCGCACGTCTCTCTCTCCTCACTCCTCACCGAGGAAGAGAGAGAGAGGAGTCTCATCCAATCCATCACTCCGCATCTTTCAATCTTCCATTCCTCTGATTTTCGATTCTCTCACCCAATCCGCTTTCATCCACCGCCCATTCCACACACACAGGTATCCACTTTATGGGTTTCCCTATTTTATCAGTTCCTTCGTTTCCCTATTTTATCGTTCGATCTGATTCTGATGTTTTCAACTTCTGCATCTCTTACATTATTCACTCTCACCATTTTTATGCACCGGCCATTGTTTTGCTTTATCAGATAATAGTAAATTAACTTAATCACTAGGTAGGACGGTTCAGTATATTTGAATTCATGTTTATTTATTTCTATCCTTAGATTCTGTTGTTGAGCAGTGATCCAAATTTTAATTGCATTTGTCTGCAAAAGTTATTGTCTTGCACACTTCTAAACCTAAGTGTATGTTTGGATAGGTGATATGGGATGAAATGGAGTGGTAAATAATGAGATTCTATTGTTTGGATTTGAAAATAATGGCCGGAGTGGAATGGAATACGATGGAATCCATTCTATCCCATTCCATTTTCATTCTATCCGTTTGGGGGTGTATGCAATAGAAGTAACTAATTTATTATGTCCCTTTCCTTCAAATTATAAAAAATATACAAACAATGGAACAGAATAGAATATCTGTTCCATTCCACTCCAATCCATCATGTTCTACCCTGCTCAGTTCCGTTCTAGTCCATTAATCCAAATATAGTCTAAGCATTTGCATTATATTAACATGCTAATTACTGTTCGCTCGAGTAATTTTTTTTGCTTTGCAACTGTCTTTGTACATGGATTGTATTGGATTGGGCCTCTGATGAATCTAGTTTATTTGTCAACTGCAGTGAAACAGCAATTTTTTGAAGCTTGAAGATCTGTGTTAAATATTTTCTCTTGCCCCTCCTGAATTGCAGGTATTCAAATTATTTTTTTAACTCCCCCAATTTTTTGTAGTTTTTCCCTTGCTGGTTGTTTGTGTGTCTAACAATCAATATATTTTGGTATTTAATGTAAGAGGGACTAGATAGTAGACATCTGTTTCTCTGTCTGTTGTGTGTTGTCATAGTTCATTGATTTGTTTTGTGGATTATAGGAACAATGGGGAAGAAAACAAAAAAGAAGAGTCGAAGTTTTGTTAAGCCGGGAGTGGCTGTACCTTTGTTGCCGAAAAATGTTACAGAATCGGACAACCCAACTGTTGAGTCTGTTGATGAGGGGGTTTCAGTAGCAAAAGAGAGAAACTCTTGCCCTCATCTTGTTAAAGGTGTGAAATTAGATATTTTGTCTGGTAAGATTGAGTCTTCTAGATCCATAAGGTGTGAAGATTGTAGGGAAGGGGCGGCTGATAGGAGGAGTGGTAAAGGAAAAGGTAAACACGTGAAGAAGAAAGGTGGTGCATCATTAGACTCCAAATCTGCCGATTCGAAGTCTATATGGGTTTGTTTGGAGTGCGGCCACTATACCTGTGGAGGTGTGGGGTTACCAACAGCCCATCATTGTCATGCTGTTGGGCATTCAAGGAAAACCCGACATCCGTTAATGGTTAATACTGAAAAACCTCAACTTTGTTGGTGTTTTTCTTGTGACATGCTTATTCGTGTTGATAAAATTGAAAAAACTGATGAAACGAGTCATATTTTGCCTGATGTTGTGAAATTGTTAAAAGGACGATCATCAGAAAAATCGCCAGTGGGTATTGAGGATGTTTCCGTTGGGGGTGGCAGTGTTACTGCAGAAATTAAGTCAGGATCTTTGTCCATAAGTGATTCACATGGACAAGGTGGTTATGTAGTCCGAGGCATGGTTAATCTTGGGAATACTTGTTTCTTTAATTCAATCATGCAAAATCTGCTTGCTATGAATAAATTACGGGATGATTTTCTAAAGATAGATGCCCCTGTTGGGCCACTGATCAGTTCGTTGAAGAAGTTGTTCACTGAAACAAACCCAGAGTCTGGATTCAGAAGCATTATTAACCCAAGATCCTTTTTTGGTTGTGTATGTTCCAAATCTCCTCAATTTCGAGGATATCAGCAACATGACAGTCATGAATTGCTCCGTTGTTTACTGGATGGGTTGAGTACTGAAGAACTAGCAGGAAGGAAGCAGCATGGTACTCTCAAAAGAGATGGGACCTCTTCCAATACTTTAGTTGATGCCTTATTTGGGGGTCAGATCTCTAGTACGGTATGCTGCAATGAATGTAGGCATTCCTCAACAGTGTATGAGCCTTTTTTAGATCTTTCCCTTTCTGTTCCAACTAAGAAACCTCCGTTGTCTCAGAAGGCTCAACAAATACCCAGGTCCAAAAAGACTAGACTTCCACCAAAAAGACTAGGAAAGGCTCGAGTCAAAGTTAACAGGGATGCTGATCCCATACCCGTTCAAAATGTACCTAGCCAATCATCGAGCCATGAATCATCTTGCCCTGATCAGTCTATCATATCAGTATCTGGAGAAATGGTGGTTTCTTCTGCTGATTGTACGGTATTAGGGTCTGAAGAAGTAAACAGCACGGCCAATAAAGAGGACTTATCTCCACTTAATTTGGTTACCGTTGAAGAGTCTCAACAGATGCAAGTGCTCGACAGTGTTCCAAATAAAACGGCAGGTTCATCAGATGATTTTGCGTGGTTGGATTATGTAGAAGATGAAACTGTGATAGGTGAAAGTGCTTCCATATCTCAGAAGGAAGATGCACCAGAGGTACATGATTCTGAGAACAAGGATGAACAATTGACTGTATTCCCCGAACAACCTAGTTGTGAAACCAGTGGTCCTGTTTGTTCCCTTCCGGAGTATCAAAACCTAAGACCTGATTTTTCTTCATCAAATGTGTGGGAAGACGAGGCTCCTATACAAGTTCAAAATTCAGAAGTCCTGTTACTTCCATACAAAGAAGAAACTTCCTCAGTTGGGGACATCATGGGAAGAGATGGTGAGGACTCCTCAACTTTTTTGGGTGGTGGTCCAGAAGAATCGGAGTTTGATGGCTTTGGTGGCTTATTTAATGAACCTGAAGTTGTTGCTGGGCCTGCTCCCAGACCTTCTTCATCCGGTGATGTGGAAGCTGTTATATTAATTAGAAACAACAGTGAATCTGATCCAGATGAAGTAGATGATACAGATTCTCCAGTCTCTGTAGAGAGTTGCTTAGCACATTTTATAAAACCGGAGCTTCTTTCAGATGAAAATGCTTGGCATTGTGAGAACTGTTCAAAAATCCTCCAACGTCAAAAGAAGAAAGCGAAAAAGCAGGCAAGAATTCTGTCTGATGGAAATGTGAGTGGTAGTCATGATGAATCAAATCTTGCATTTAACTCGTGTTCGTGTTCTTTAAAAGTCAGTAGTAGAGGAAATGGAGATATTAAATGTGACAAGGATGTAGAAAGTTCAGTTTCACATGTTCAGCATGGCACAGAGCTGCATAATGGTGAATTACAGTCTTCATCTTTACAACAAGCTTGCAAGGAAGAAAGCTGCAGTGATTCAGCTGCTGATTCTTGTACTTCTGGAAATGTCAAACGAGATTCTCCAATGTTCGACAATGATGATGACAATGACTCAGAAGAATGCAGCGACAAAGAGACCGAATCAGAAAGCATGAGAGTGAATAGGGATGCAACTAAGAGAGTCCTCATTTATAAAGCCCCACCTGTTTTGACCATTCATCTAAAGAGATTCAGCCAAGATGCTCGCGGCCGCTTAAGTAAATTAAATGGTCATGTTGACTTCAAAGAAACATTGGATCTTAGACCCTATATGGACCCCAGGTATGTTTTAACTTGCTAGTTTCTTTTTGAAGTTTGAACAACGTATAACTGCCTAGTGCATCTTACTTTAGGAATTAGGAACTGTTTTGAAAATGACCATGATTTAGATTTCTGAATTCAGTTTTACCTTAGACTTTACTGAATATCTTTATTCATCTTCATCTGTATTGGTCCACTGGCATGTGATTCACTCACAATTCTGTTGTAAAAGGTGTATCAACGAAGAGAAGTATGAATACCAGTTGGTTGGAATAGTGGAGCACTCGGGAACCATGAGAGGGGGTCATTATGTTGCTTATGTTAGAGGGGGCCAGAAGAACAGAGAGAAGGTCGATAATAAAGAAAACGAGAATGTGAATTCCACGTGGTATTATGCGAGTGATGCTTACGTGCGTGAAGTTTCCCTTGATGAAGTTCTTCGATGTGAGGCATACATTTTGTTTTATGAAAGAAATTGAGTGGACCATCTACTTTCTGGCTATTTATACTTGAGGTAGAGATAAGGGTTTACGAAATTTAGAAGAGTGAGAAAGATACATCATTGCAGGTGAGTGTAAAGGCAATTGCCACATACTGTATACCATTTTTCCAGACATGTAATGAGGTATTGAATGTACAATGCGGTATCATACAGTCAAATGTCAAGTTTTCATTCTTAATTCTTTTGGTTGCCTAATGTCAAAACCCACTAGTATTTTTGCATTATTTTTCTCGTAGCCTTTTTTGGTACTATCAATATCATTGTTGTGCTTGCTATAGTCTTGATTGGGCTACAAATTTTGACTGGTTCAATTTTGTAACCCTTAATTTATCCTTAGACTAGAATAAGTTCAATGTTCTGCATGCAAATTAAGAATGTGACTATTTAGGGAGATCTTTAGATTGGGACAAGATTGTATGACAAATGCTGATGGGATTTGTGTCCAAACCTCCATTTGGCCCAACCGACGGGTGAGGTTTGCAAGCCCAATACAATCCAAAAAAGTATTGATTTTTTTTGTGTTCGAATCATACTGGTTCATTTATTTTTGGATTGAGCTTGTAAAACTGGGTATGTTTTAAACTTTAGCTTATTTGTCATAATTGAGATTTTTATTTTAAAAATTAATCTATTTTGACATATTTGTTAATTTAAAAATGCGATATTTATGACTCATTTATAACTAAAAGTTGAGCTATTTAGACAGACTATTTTAAATTTCAAATTTGAGCTTTTGAAATATATTTTTCCCATTTAAAGATTGGGCTACTTTTCATAATTAATCTTATAAAATAAAAGACTATTTTTTAACGCTTCCTATATGTTGTGATGTATCATGTAAATTTTTAAAAATGCTTTTTATTTTTAGAAATGTATTTTCGAACGCATTTCTTACACATTTAACAAAGGTTATTCTGAGTGACTTCTTATTAATTGCATTATTTTTATTTTAGAGATATTTCAGAACATTTTAAAATATATCTTAATTATTTATCAGTTCAATAGAACTTTTGGATTACATGTTAGTAGAAATATCTTAATTATTTAAGTTGGATTATATTTTAAATTTTTTTGTCACCTTTGCATGTCAAATTTTTTCGAAGATGCATTTATGAAATAATCTGATAAAAGAAATAATTGCATGTTCACACAATCATTATTGTCATTGTTGTATTTCAATCAAACACGAGATGTCGATTTTTATGCATAAGTATATCGAGCGGTTCGTCAATGTTATAGGAAATATTAATTGCGGGTATCGAGCAGTTTTAACTTTACTCAATAAAGGAGAAGATAATCATACAATTGTCCGCCATCAACTTATTCAAGAGTTGAAAATTCATAAAGAATCATACAGAAAGAAAGAAAAATTCAATGAAGTTTATGAGTCTCTTGCTCCTTACCTTAGCGGTCCGCCACCGGAGGTAAAATGGATGCACTTTCCTGAAATGAGTCACCTGATAGCATGTGTGTATGATAAAGTGTGTGTTGATATGATACGATACGATTTTTTGAAAATCTTCCCCATCACGCACCGTCCCACCTCAAAATCGAAATGATCATATCATGATAAAGAAGCTCACAAAGTTGAAACGCATAAAGTTTATAGTATAGTGATTTTTTAAATCATTCTCATGAGTGTCATGTCAGTTGCATGTGTTGATAAAATTGTGAATCATGATCAAAGTTGAATTTTATGGTGCACGCACAAAAAACCTTCTAATGAACCTTAATGAGCTAATCTTTAGAGTTATAGGAATTGTTATCCTTCGTACAAGGTCTGCATAAAAGAAGAAATCTAAGAAGACTTTAAGGATATCTGTTCCGAACTTGCCCAATGGCTAGGCGTGGTCCAACCCATTTCTGCTTTCAAAACGGGCCAATTGCCTAAGTCCAACCTCGGGGGAAAGTTTACCTTTCTGCCCCTACAACAGGGGAATGTTGACCTATTTACCCTTGTTCACAACACTTCTCCCCGTTAGTCTCTGTCCGTCACGCACGGTTCCACCATCCAGAAACAGGCAAGACGCTTGTGCCCGTAACTACGCCTATGCCCGTGCCAACGGCTAGTTATGGGCACGTCTGTTCGTCCCAACGGCTATTTCTGGCAGTTACCTATTCTTCGGAAAACGATTATCTTGCCCCAAAAAAGGGACCAATGGCCAAGCGCTGAGGGCATTATAAAAACCCTCTCATTTGAGAGGGGCAGGTATCAAATTTCTCACCTTGAAACACACATATTTTGTACTTGCTCGATCTCTTGCCCGTTTTCTTACTTTAGCATCAGAGTGTCTTACAGGTACACCCCCTCATCCTCTTTCACACCCAGCATCACAAATGTTTGTCCTTGGCCCATCTCAGGTTCTGATCGTTCGGTAAGATGAGTGGCGCCGTATGTGGGAAACTTGTTATCCCCGTCTTTTCTCTCTTCATAGAACACAAGACCAAAATAATTCTTCAATTTTCTGATTATGGCTACCCGTGACAACAATCTTGATGCTTGTGACTTTGCTTTCCTCCCTATCAACAAGATTGATGCTGATGGAGCCACCACCTCTCATGCGACGACGTCCTATAACAAAGGGACGAAGCCACAACTTCTTCATTCCCTATTCGTGCAGATCACGACGAAGCCCCACCTGTCCCGCATTACCTGCCAATTTCAATTTCGCCTAACGCCGACCCATCCATGGAGACCCTCCTCGAGGTTCTCAATAAAACCAACCTCCTAATCCTCAACCAGAGCGCGAGGATTGAAGCATTGGAAGAGTCCCGTCGTCCAAGGTCCCATGCGCCGAGGAAAGAGCGCCAGTAGCGACAGAGCCCCCTCCCCGACGCGAGAGGAACTGTCAGACGCCTCCGGAGCCAGAGACCCTGATCATCCGTAAATGCGACCTGATTTTTCCTCGAAATCATCATTCTCCACAACCCAAGAGGACCAGAAGAGGCCACCAGGTAGAATCCCAACATTCACTACCCAGATCCAAGGGACGAGCACAAACCCCGTCTCCACGACGAGGACACCGTCCCACTTATAGACGTGACGCCCGCTCCCCCTCTTGGACCAGTAGCAGCATAGACGACAAGCCTCGCGATCCGTTGTCCCAGGAGATCATGGCCATGCGCCTCCCAAAGGGACTAGAGAAACCCCCTTCTCTAAGAACATATGATAGAACAATCGACCCTGACGAGCATATCGAAAACATCAATGTGTTCCTCGACTATCGCGACATTCGGGGCGCCATCAAATGCAGGTTATTTCCGACCACACTCAAGAAGGGGGCAATGACCTGATACAAATGACTCCCTGACGACTCTATCACCTCATGGAGGCAACTGGGAATACTCTTCTCCAGACATTTGACGGCCTCTCGCCGACATCTGAAGATCGAAGCCTCCCTCGAGGCCATCATTCAGGGCAGAGATGAACCCCTACGAGCCTACATTGAAAGATTCAACAAGGAGGCTGTCCAAATCTCCACCACTGATGATATGAAAAGGTTCCTGCTAAAACGCGGGCTCCGTCCCTGTACAGACTTCGCTAAAGCTGTCGGCCCTCGACAACACTGGATGCTTTCCTTCTCAAAGCTCAAGCGTACATTCAATACGAGGAGAAAGAGGCCGCCAACTCTGCTCGTGATTCCAGGCACAGGGAGAATGCTCGTCCTTTCAGATCCGAAGAGCCCTCGACATCCCGTCGAGGAGATAAAAAACGTGAAGACCATCCCCGCGAGACCCGAGACAACAAGGGACCCTCCGACAGGTTCCACGAATACACTCCCCTAACAGTTTTGAGAGAGAAGATCCTCACTGCGTGCATCGTTGACGTTATCATGGCTGGACATGATCAAAATCTTGAAAAATTACTTTGATCTTTAGTTTTCGGGGAAGAAAGACGGGGAGAACAAAATTCCCACAGACGGCGCCACTGATCTTTTCGGTTGATCAGAACATGAAGTGGGGCAGAGACTTCGTCTTCGATGGTGGAATGCAAGGAGGAGGGGAGTGTACCTGCAAGGCACTCCAATGTCAAAGTAAGAATCGGGAGAGGAAAAGGCAAGTACAAAGTAAGAATGTCTTAGGGTGATTGTAGAATACCTGACCCTTTCAAAGGAGAAAGCATTTATAATACCTCTAGTGCTTAGCCATTGGTCCCTATTTTCGGGCGGGCCTAGATATTTGCTCCCCAAAAATAGGTAACTTTAAAAACTAGCATTTGTGACGGGCAAACATGCTCAGAAGTAGTTGTTGCTTCAAGTAGGGGCATGGTTGTGGACAAACACGTCGTGACCGTTCCTGGATGGTTGAATCGTGTGTGACGGGCAGAGATGTGACGAGAGATAGTTGATCCTGCGGGTCAGCTGGCTAGCCCTCCTCAGTTGAGGGGCAGAAGAAATAGTGTTTTTCTTTGCCCTTAACTGGTATGGCTTAGACTATTGGGTCGTTCTACGTGCAGAAGTTGATTGAACAATGCCTAATCATTGGGTCAGTCTGAAACAAAATAATTCATAAAATCAATTTAATCATTTTATTCACTTAAATATTTTAGAAATTTTTCTGACAGGATAGACAATACTCCATCTAATTTTTTTCTTCCCTTGATTTTCACACATATTTTTGTTTTTCGTTGACTGTGTATTTTAAAAGTTCTATCCATAAATTTTTTTCGTTATATTTATACCTTTGCATTTTATTTTATTTTTTTACACTCTATTGAATGTAAAATATTCAAGTAACTTTCTCAAATCTCTTTATGAAAATGGGAAATAATTTTCCATAAATAAATTGTTAAATGAGTTCATATTTCATACGTTTTTAATGAAATTGCCAATAAGTACTAATTTGGAAAATGATAAGAGAGCATATCATTTTATTTTAATTAATTTTTGATCTGACCTGATCAGAAGGGGATCACGGACTGGCCACACTCTGTTGGGCTGCTACCTGTTCGCCGGTGATGAGGAGGAGAAGGGGGGT